ACCTGATTCAACAACAATTTACCATTAAGTGTTTAAGCAATCTGGATCGTGCCGGGGCTTCCTCTCATTATCGCACGACGCTGGATCAGGTTCTCTTCTCTTCCACCATCAACTTCCTCTTGAGGTTTTGTCATGACCCACGTGACCACCACGTGACCATAAATACAACCGGTTTAACTCCTTCCAGCTAGTTTCTCGACTGCAGGCGTCAGCCAAAGTGCCGATATACTATTTCCTGCCAGCTTAACCGGCTAATTTCTTCCTCGATAATACCAGATCTTGCTTTACGATTCGTCCAAGAAGCTCATTTTCATGTCAAAGAGGGCGTGCTTCGACCTGTCAGAAATTACTGTAGATTAATGGACGAATATATATAAGATATAGAATAATTAATTCTATATCAGTTTAGTTCGGATACTAATTCTGGATCCCTTTATCCTTGGGCGGTTAATGGATGAAGAAGCTGCTGTACTAGCGAGCCTGAGGTTTAATTCTGACACTAATGCAGGTGGTAATAGCAGGTGGACTGTCTGAATGCCAGGACATATTAGACCCTGCATGGTTATATTGGGGCTAGGTAATGTCTTACTCGGTATTTTCCATCTTGCCTGGGATGGGCTATTATTCACATTGTGTGGATGTATTAGGTTTAGATTGTCGCTGCCCCAGGTTGAGTTAAATCCGGGTAACAGACTGACTGGTACCGCGATTAAGCTTTGTTAGGATGACCAGTGGCGTGACGTCACGCGATCACGCGCACGCGTGACGTCACGTTATATCACCGCGCTATAAGTATAAGTCAGAACACTTTACCAAGGAAGAGATCATTCACAGTTTGTTGACCAATCTGCTCAGCCAGAATTGTAGACCATATCTGTACAGGGACTAGCCAGGGACTGATCCTTTCCACGATCTGCTCTCCTAGGTTTATCTAAACCTCCCATGTTACTTTATCATGTCATAAGTCGAGTCTATGCTAAGTCTATCCTAAGGGACATAACATTTGACAAATAACGTTACATGCTCATATTTTATCAGCTTGCTATATTAGCAATAGCATATTCACCTCATGATTAGTTGTCAAATTCAGAGATTAATTGCCGAATTTATCAGCTCTGTATCGATCAGGTCAGGCACGTAGCCTGGATCAGGTTATCTTTTGTCATTCCTTCACTGTGGTCATTGTCCAGTATCAGAAGGAGACATCATTCCATTTTCACTGGTGTACGAGTTTGTTAAGTTCTTTTGTTCCATTCTCGACCTTTTGATTGATCGATTTTAGCATGGTATTGCGAGAGATCAAAATGATCATTAGTTCAAAATTTCAACACAGCCGGTTCAGCATAAATACTGTATCTCTAAATATTTATAAATACTTAGAGATTTGGGTCATGCTCATGACATTATAAATGTGCATTGTACTTCATGAGTACCTTTATACCTGCTACAAGTACAATGCACAATGGAGATTACAGATCTCTTACAAAAAGGGTGACATAAACTCATAAAGAATGCCCCAGGAATGTCAATTGTGTTGCTGCCGGAAAGATTTTAGAATTTTTTGAAATTGTAGCTCCTCAGCCACATAGTCATACGTAGTAATAATATATAGTATTGTCCATTCAGCACTCAGTTATTTGAAATATTGCCATTTGTTTCTTTGAAGCTAGCGTACTTAACAATATTTTTACCGTAAACAGATTAAACAACAATTTGCAAGATCACGGTGTAGTGTACCCCGCCCCCGCCCCCCCCCCCCTCTCCACGTAATGCAGTTTCCTCCCCAGCCTAATGATTAACCGAGATTACCAGTCCAGTGCAGAAATACTGCACCTACTAGCAGGAAGTAAGGTATCTCTCATTAAGAGATAAGTGAGCCGCGTCAATCCCGGGTGGTAATCACTGTGTTCACCTCGTCACTGTGTTCACCTCGTTGTAGTTCAATCGGTTTGTCATTTGTCATTTCACATCATTCAACTTTCGGAATCAGCAAATTTCTGGAAAAATCTAATGATTTCACTTCTTTAATGCTCGAATCATAACAAATCCTTTATATTTTTCAGATGGACAAAACACCAAATTTCTCGGCTCACTGAAAAACTTCATACTAAAGACAAACCTTGCATCAGCTACATACAATGCACCATATTCAAAATTTGACAAAATTATCGGCAAAGTTAGAAGAGAGCAGGAGCCGGTATCATAGTTAGAGCTGGTGTTGTTAACGCGCCCCCCCTAGTAGTACTAGTTGTAGTGTTTAGAGGCAGGTCAGTAGCGGGAGGGAGCCAAATAATGAACCGTTTTCAATTCATTTAGCTTACTCTAGTACTGTAGTAGTAATTTAGCTGGGGACTAGTTTATCACGCGAGGGTTTGTGTCCTCGGTAAAGGGGAACCAGTGTATATTGCAACATTTGATTAGGCTTAGGGGCCATCTACTTAGGACGTCCGGACAGGGGGGGGGGGGGGGGGTGGTTTCTGAAAATCCGGACACACCCGGACAGGGGGAGGGGGGTGGTCTGAAAATCTGCGATTTTGGCGGCCGTCCTAAGTAGATGGCCCCTTATTTTTGGTTTGGGGAAGAGAGGACACATTTCTAGTTGGATAAAGTGCTATATTTTTTCTATATTTCAGCAAGTTAAATAGAACTCAAATTGCTGGATAATTGTTTAACTCTGCTATCTAACTACTACCTACTACTAACTATCAGACCGGATATGAATCAAACAGTTCTTCTCTTAATTCTATAAAATCTGGTAAATTTCTTCCAATTATGAAATTTATAAACAAGTTCCAGCATTTAATTGTATAAGTAGGGCGCTGTTACCGGCCCATTACAGCTCGATAGGTCACTTTATTTCCGCCCTTTTGTTTCCGGCTATCTCCTGCCTCATTTTCAGTTCTATTTCGCTGATTCAGTTCCAATACCAGTTACTTGGTTACTAGTTACTACTTGGTATTAGAGTTACAGGCGTCAGAAGTTAATAACAATACCAGTTACTTGGTTACTAGTTACTACTTGGTAGTAGAGTTAGATGCGTCAGAAGTTAATAACAATACCAGTTACTTGGTTACTAGTTACTACTTGGTATTAGAGTTACAGGCGTCAGAAGTTAATAACAATACCAGTTACTTGGTTACTTGGTTACTAGTTACTACTTGGTAGTAGAGTTAGATGCGTCAGAAGTTAATAACAATACCAGTTACTTGGTTACTTGGTTACTAGTTACTACTTGGTAGTAGAGTTAGATGCGTCAGAAGTTAATAATGTCTTTTACACAACCTCCACTTTCTCGTGAACAAGTTAACTTAAACTGTTTAAGCGGAAGATATTTTATTCTATTTACGAAGTATACCTTGTTACTTGACTTTGATATAATTGGCTTATACTATGGCAGTATCTGTAAACTGCATACCTTATATCGGATATAATTGTCACGGAAATTACTTTCACGCTGAAGACCTTAGCGTGAATAATTATGTCCGTGAAAAATTTGGTCCGTGAGAAACTTGTCTGTGACAATTTTGTCCGATAAGGTAGTCAATAAGTTATTTGTAGCATAAATATTAGTATAACTATAATATTTCAATATTTGTATAATATTTCAATATTTGTATAATATTTAAATATTTGTAAAATATTTCAATATTTGTAAAATATTGAAATATTTGTAAAATATTTAAATATTTGTAAAATATTGAAATATTTGTATAATATTTAACCTCACTTATCCCCTAGTTTAGCTCGTACAACCCATCTAACAATCATGAAGCTGTTTCTCTCTCTCGTCCTGCTGGGTCTTGTCGCCGTCATCAGCTCTGAAAGTGTAGAATCAGTGGAGGACAACGCTGAGCTCAATGCAAACGAAGGTCAGTTTATCTAACACTAATTTAAATTTATCGGTTAAATTTTATGGCCGGAATTGTTTTCCACCGGTATCAATATCACATTTGTCCGTTGACAAACTTTGAAATTGTATAAGACATCTAACAGATTGGGATACCCCCCTAACAGATCTATAAAACCTTTGTCGAGAGTAGGAGAGTCAATTTGTTTCATAGCTCGAATAGACACAAATATAAGATAAAGACGTTTTGTGCTCAAATTAAATCCTAAAACAGCATCAACTTTACCTGAGGACTACAAGCAATTTGGTAAAACCTACTATTTTCAGAATCAGGCTCCCTCCGAGTTAAGAGAGCTAAGTTCAGTATGAACAACTACAAAGGATACAGACAGGGCAACAGAGGCTGGACTGGAGGCGAAATGCAGGAGGAAGAGTAGGTTTTATGAAGGAGTATCGTTTGTGACGTCATCATGTCGTCATGGTGACGTCATCATGTCGTCATGGTGCCGTCTCTGCACGTCACGTGATTTGGCGGACCGGACAGTTGTGATTTAGGTGGTGCACGTTTTAAGTTTTTAACTTATTCTATACGCTTGGTGATCTCATATAATCTTGGCTGCCTCAATCTTCTGGGTATGATTATTTTTCAATCTGATTGAATCAATCATGATGCGATTAAAAATTTTCGGGATTTTCAATAAGTCTGTCTATTTTTGGTCAAGCTGAGTCAAGAGTTTCATGATAATCAGGCAACTAAGGGCGGCTTGCTTTTAGGCCCTATCGGGCATTTAATTGTGTTTTATTTCTCCAAATATTATTTATTCGCTAATATTTACTTTTGTGCTATAGAATATCTTATTCAGTAAAATCAGAGATTTGTCAAGATTTTGACGTTAACAGACGCCCTAATATGGTGTTATTTACACTATTATAGTGGTTTGTTGATTGTATGATGGAAGATATGTTTTGAGTTTTGACTCTGTGAAATATGCTGGAAGTGCAAGATTGGTCATTTTAAAAACGAGTAATTTATTTTGTACCTTAAATTGCTTGGATGAATGAGAAATGTGAAAGGAAAGAAATGTTGAAGATAATCTTAATTCTCAACGATATGTTCATCTGCGAAAAATGGAATAAAATGAAAAATCAGAGATTAATGAAAATAAGTTAGAAAATAACTTATTTATTACAAATTCATCTGTATACATTATCAAATAATACAATAAAACGTATTAAACGTAAAAATCAAAATAAATTTTTGGTTAAGCAGCTCTGTCAAGGAAACAAGTGTCAGCCAGAGTTAAAAATAAACCCTCTATACCTGATATACTATTAAAACTATTAAAATAAACTATTTTCTATATCAAATGTCTCAAACATACCCTATCTAAACATCACTAAAGGTTAAAGGTTAAAGGTGTGTACTAGTAGTTACTAGTAGTTACTAGTAGTTACTAGTAGTTACTAGTAGTTACTAGTAGTTACTAGTAGTTACTAGTAGTTACTAGTAGTTACTTGTAGTTACTAGTAGTAATTACTAATAGTTACTAATAGTTACTAATAGTTACTAGTAGTTAGTAGTTACTAGTAGTTATTTGTGGTTACTAGTAGTTACTAGTAGTAATTACTAGTAGTTACTAATAGTTACTAGTACTTAATAGTAGTTACTAGTAGTCCGTGTTAAGCTGCTGTCGTAACGACGTTTACCACATTTTCTAGAACTTTACAAATCGCCACTTTTTGAGACTTCGTCTTGATAGTTTCCTGAAATGAGGTATATGATAGTATGATAGATCAGATCGAATAGTTTTAAAGAGATAACTAGACAAGACTCCAATATTTAGCCAGTATATATAACTAGTGTATCCCCAATATAATAATTAGAACTAGTATCTAGTAACTAGTGTATCCCCAATATAATAATTAGAACTAGTATCTAGTAACTAGTGTATCCCCAATATAATAATTAGAACTAGTATCTAGTAACTAGTGTATCCCCAATATAATAATTAGAACTAGTATCTAGTAACTAGTGTATCCCCAATATAATAATTAGAACTAGTATCTAGTAACTAGTGTATCCCCAATATAATAATTAGAACTAGTATCTAGTAACTAGTGTATCCCCAATATAATAATTAGAACTAGTATCTAGTAACTAGTGTATCCCCAATATAATAATTAGAACTAGTATCTAGTAACTAGTGTATCCCCAATATAATAATTAGAACTAGTATCTAGTAACTAGTGTATCCCCAATATAATAATTAGAACTAGTATCTAGTAACTAGTGTATCCCCAATATAATAATTAGAACTAGTATCTAGTAACTAGTGTATCCCCACTATAATAATTAGAACTAGTATCTAGTAACTAGTGTATCCCCAATATAATAATTAGAACTAGTATCTAGTAACTAGTGTATCCCCAATATAATAATTAGAACTAGTATCTAGTAACTAGTGTATCCCCAATATAATAATTAGAACTAGTATCTAGTAACTAGTGTATCCCCAATATAATAATTAGAACTAGTATCTAGTAACTAGTGTATCCCCAATATAATAATTAGAACTAGTATCTAGTAACTAGTGTATCCCCAATATAATAATTAGAACTAGTATCTAGTAACTAGTGTATCCCCACTATAATAATTAGAACTAGTATCTAGTAACTAGTGTATCCCCAATATAATAATTAGAACTAGTATCTAGTAACTAGTGTATCCCCAATATAATAATTAGAACTAGTATCTAGTAACTAGTGTATCCCCAATATAATAATTAGAACTAGTATCTAGTAACTAGTGTATCCCCAATATAATAATTAGAACTAGTATCTAGTAACTAGTGTATCCCCAATATAATAATTAGAACTAGTATCTAGTAACTAGTGTATCCCCAATATAATAATTAGAACTAGTATCTAGTAACTAGTGTATCCCCAATATAATAATTAGAACTAGTATCTAGTAACTAGTGTATCCCCAATATAATAATTAGAACTAGTATCTAGTAACTAGTGTATCCCCAATATAATAATTAGAACTAGTATCTAGTAACTAGTGTATCCCCAATATAATAATTAGAACTAGTATCTAGTAACTAGTGTATCCCCACTATAATAATTAGAACTAGTATCTAGTAACTAGTGTATCCCCAATATAATAATTAGAACTAGTATCTAGTAACTAGTGTATCCCCAATATAATAATTAGAACTAGTATCTAGTAACTAGTGTATCCCCAATATAATAATTAGAACTAGTATCTAGTAACTAGTGTATCCCCAATATAATAATTAGAACTAGTATCTAGTAACTAGTGTATCCCCAATATAATAATTAGAACTAGTATCTAGTAACTAGTGTATCCCCAATATAATAATTAGAACTAGTATCTAGTAACTAGTGTATCCCCAATATAATAATTAGAACTAGTATCTAGTAACTAGTGTATCCCCAATATAATAATTAGAACTAGTATCTAGTAACTAGTGTATCCCCAATATAATAATTAGAACTAGTATCTAGTAACTAGTGTATCCCCAATATAATAATTAGAACTAGTATCTAGTAACTAGTGTATCCCCAATATAATAATTAGAACTAGTATCTAGTAACTAGTGTATCCCCAATATAATAATTAGAACTAGTATCTAGTAACTAGTGTATCCCCAATATAATAATTAGAACTAGTATCTAGTAACTAGTGTATCCCCACTATAATAATTAGAACTAGTATCTAGTAACTAGTGTATCCCCAATATAATAATTAGAACTAGTATCTAGTAACTAGTGTATCCCCACTATAATAATTAGAACTAGTATCTAGTAACTAGTGTATCCCCAATATAATAATTAGAACTAGTATCTAGTAACTAGTGTATCCCCAATATAATAATTAGAACTAGTATCTAGTAACTAGTGTATCCCCAATATAATAATTAGAACTAGTATCTAGTAACTAGTGTATCCCCAATATAATAATTAGAACTAGTATCTAGTAACTAGTGTATCCCCAATATAATAATTAGAACTAGTATCTAGTAACTAGTGTATCCCCAATATAATAATTAGAACTAGTATCTAGTAACTAGTGTATCCCCAATATAATAATTAGAACTAGTATCTAGTAACTAGTGTATCCCCAATATAATAATTAGAACTAGTATCTAGTAACTAGTGTATCCCCAATATAATAATTAGAACTAGTATCTAGTAACTAGTGTATCCCCAATATAATAATTAGAACTAGTATCTAGTAACTAGTGTATCCCCAATATAATAATTAGAACTAGTATCTAGTAACTAGTGTATCCCCAATATAATAATTAGAACTAGTATCTAGTAACTAGTGTATCCCCAATATAATAATTAGAACTAGTATCTAGTAACTAGTGTATCCCCAATATAATAATTAGAACTAGTATCTAGTAACTAGTGTATCCCCAATATAATAATTAGAACTAGTATCTAGTAACTAGTGTATCCCCAATATAATAATTAGAACTAGTATCTAGTAACTAGTGTATCCCCAATATAATAATTAGAACTAGTATCTAGTAACTAGTGTATCCCCAATATAATAATTAGAACTAGTATCTAGTAACTAGTGTATCCCCAATATAATAATTAGAACTAGTATCTAGTAACTAGTGTATCCCCAATATAATAATTAGAACTAGTATCTAGTAACTAGTGTATCCCCAATATAATAATTAGAACTAGTATCTAGTAACTAGTGTATCCCCAATATAATAATTAGAACTAGTATCTAGTAACTAGTGTATCCCCAATATAATAATTAGAACTAGTATCTAGTAACTAGTGTATCCCCAATATAATAATTAGAACTAGTATCTAGTAACTAGTGTATCCCCAATATAATAATTAGAACTAGTATCTAGTAACTAGTGTATCCCCAATATAATAATTAGAACTAGTATCTAGTAACTAGTGTATCCCCAATATAATAATTAGAACTAGTATCTAGTAACTAGTGTATCCCCAATATAATAATAAGAACTAGTATCTAGTAACTAGTGTATCCCCAATATAATAATTAGAACTAGTATCTAGTAACTAGTGTATCCCCAATATAATAATTAGAACTAGTATCTAGTAACTAGTGTATCCCCAATATAATAATTAGAACTAGTATCTAGTAACTAGTGTATCCCCAATATAATAATTAGAACTAGTATCTAGTAACTAGTGTATCCCCAATATAATAATAAACCTCCTGAAAACGTCACTTTTTTAAATGGTCGCTGGGTGTGATAGGCCAGCAACACAGGCGTCTGGGGTGAGTCAGGCCGCTACCCATTGATCTATGAATGGATAAACCTCACTCTCAAATATATATTATCCTTAGCCTTCAACAAACAGATGAATATCAAATTGGACTGGTACAGGGGTGTGGAGCCTGTTCTCGCGCTAGACAAATGTTTCAGCTTATTGTACACTCATTCCAAATTAATTTGTGAAAGCAACCCGAGTATCACAAAACCACCAAAAAAAGACTTTCTTATTCACAACGGTTTCCTTGCAATCAACCCAACTGATCGGTAGTAAAATATTCACAACTCATGTCATTACACACACAACTAGTAGTTACTAGTAGTTACTAGTAGTTACTCATGTCATTACGAAAAGTTTGAAATGTCGGTTCAGATAATGCTGGAGCACTTAAATAAACACTTGGAAATTTAAATTCTATCGTGGCTTGAAATCCAACGTCAACAAATATTGTTACCTAAATATGCTGACTGTGAGGAACAAAAACGGCCTTTTTAAAATTTTGCTTTATCAAATTATAATCATACGGGAAATAAATCAATGAAGAAAATGAATATGACTATGAGGGGGAATGCAACGACCATTAATGACCATTAAGGACCATTAATGACCATTAATGACAATGTCAGTATTGGCAAAAATAAAAATACTGACATTAATGGTCATGTTTTTTTTCCAGCACGGAAGTTAGGGCACTGTATCACCTTGACCCTCATTTTATTTAATATTAGCAACCATAGCTATATTTATTATAGGTATTTTATGCAGAGATTTGATTGAGAAAATTAAAAGACTAAGCTTCTTTGGTTAGGTAGATCTTTCAGTGTAAAAGAGACTTGAAAAATGAGAGAAAATGGAACTGTCTTAAAATACAGCAACTTATTATAAGATTATACACATATACATATATATACATTATACATATGAGTCAGTCCTCAAGACTTATCTAATATGGCCTTTATCATAAATACATTATATCTTTATATTAAGATACAAACACATTTGCGGCCGAAATTTGTCCAGAAAAATCGGTGTCACCAATTGCGTTTCTGCGTTATAATACAGATGGTATTGGTTGCTAATGATTTTGTCAAAATTTAAAATGTTCAACTGTTAACTGAGGGACTTAAAACTGCAGAAACAATGCGATTTATTGCGCATTCCTCTATAAAAATGGAAACTCAACGCTTTTTTAGAGTTGTCAAATCGGGAACTACAAAAAACGATTCCACAAAAGGGAAAGTCACACAATGGTGTTACAAAAGGGCAAGTCACACAAAGGTGTTACAAAAGGGCGATAACTGGACTAGTATTCGGAATATAGGGAATATATGACATAGCCGAACCTATAAAGTAGAGGTTGTAACCTCGAATTTGGATCATTTTCTTAAAGACTCTGGCAGCCGCACACATGATATAGAATTGATCAACATTTTAAAATCCTCGGACAGTTTTCAAAGATGTCTGCTTTGGTGAAGAACTTTAATACTAATAGAATTTTTTATCATTAATATGACCATTAATGACAATATCAGTATTGGCAAAATAAAAAATACTGACATTAATGGTCGTTGCATTCCCCCCGACTATGATCATTTTCTTGACAATTACGATTGTAATTCAAAAATTTTCAACTCTTGTAACTTTTGTAACTGTGATATTTCTTCAATCTAAAATAAAGAGCTGGAAATACCTGTAGCGCGAGATGTATAAAGAGCTGGAAATACCTGTAGCAAACATAGTAACACTCATAGTAACACTTAGTAACCATAGTAACACTAAATACCTGTAGCGCCAGATGTATCTGGTGTTCTGTATTGTAACACTTAGTAACCACAGTAACACTCATAGTAACACTTAGTAACCATAGTAACACTAAATACCTGTAGCGCCAGATGTATCTGATGTTCTGTATTGTTCAGTCTCTCAACTAAATCTGCGTTCTCCTCCATTAGCTTCGTTGCGGAGCTTTCTAGTTTCGTATTAGCTCGCTCTAGGTTATTAACCTGGGAGTGGAACATATTTAAATAATTACATATTTAAGTATAATACTCAAGGGGGGAAGGAGGGGAGGGGGAATGGGAGGGGGAGGGGGAGGGGGAGGGGGAGGGGGAGGGGGAGGGGGAGGGGGAGGGGGAGGGGGAGGGGGAGGGGGAGGGGGAGGGGGAGGGGAGGGGGAATGGGAGGGGGAGGGGGAATGGGAGGGGGAGGGGGAGGGGGAGGGGGAGGGGGAGGGGAGGGGGAATGGGAGGGGGAGGGGGAGGGGGAGGGGGAGGGGGAGGGGGAGGGGGAGGGGGAGGGGGAGGGGGAGGGGGAGGGGGAGGGGGAGGGGGAGGGGGAGGGGGAGGGGGAGGGCTAAGTACCTGTTTCTCCAGAGATTGGATCTGAACAGCTGAAGTTTCAACTTTCTGTGCCAGTTCAGTGTTTGGATTCTGAGCTGTCTTTTCAACAGCGAGCTGAAACATTGTCATTATCATCACTGATAAAGACTACTACTACTACTTCACTGATAACACACAACCTAAACACTGATAACACACAACCTATACACTGATAAAGAGAATGTTATTATGAAAACACATGAAAACACATGAAAACACAAGAAAACACGAGAAAGCAAAAAAGGAAGAGTGAAAGTAACCTGTTGTTTGAGAGACTGTACTTTACGTCTCATGTTGTGACACTGGGAGTGCTCATTTACCACGTGATCTAGTCTCCTCACCAGTTCCTGCTCAGCAGACTTGTAGTATCTCACTAGCTCATCACGCGTATCCTGGTCCTGTAACAAAACATTCCTTATTAATAGTCCTCATGTGGGCAATACTGCTAACAAGACATCTGTTAGGGGGTACCCCATCTGTTAGGGGGGTACCCCATCTGTTAGGGGGGTACCCCATCTGTTAGGGGGGTACCCCATTTGTTAGGGGGTACCCCATCTGCTAGGGGGGTACCCCATCTGTTAGGGGGTACCCCATCTGTTAGAGGGGTACCCCATCTGTTAGAGGGGTACCCCATCTGTTAGGGGGTACCCCATCTGTTAGGGGGGTACCCCATCTGTTTGGGGGGTACCCCATCTGTTAGGGGGGTACCCCATCTGTTAGGGGGGTACCCCATCTGTTAGGGGGGTACCCCATCTGTTAGGGGGTACCCCATCTGTTAGGGGGTACCCCATCTGTTAGGGGGTACCCCATCTGTTAGGGGGTACCCCATCTGTTAGGGGGTACCCCATCTGTTAGGGGGTACCCCATCTGTTAGGGGGTACCCCATCTGTTAGGGGGTACCCCATCTATTAGGGGGTACCCCATCTGTTAGGGGGTACCCCATCTGTTAGAGGGGTACCCCATCTGTTGGGGGGTACCCCATCTGTTGGGGGGTACCCCATCTGTTAGGGGGTACCCCATCTGTTGGGGGGTACCCCATCTGTTAGGGGGTACCCCATCTGTTAGGGGGTACCCCATCTGTTAGAGGGGTACCCCATCTGTTAGAGGGGTACCCCATCTGTTAGGGGGGTACCCCATCTGTTAGGGGGTACCCCATCTGTTAGAGGGTACCCCATCTGTTAGGGGGTACCCCATCTGTTAGAGGGTACCCCATCTGTTAGGGGGTACCCCATCTGTTAGGGGGTACCCCATCTGTTAGGGGGGTACCCCATCTGTTAGGGGGCTACCCCATCTGTTAGGGGGCTACCCCATCTGTTAGAGGGGTACCCCATCTGTTAGAGGGGTACCCCATCTGTTAGAGGGGTACCCCATCTGTTAGAGGGGTACCCCATCTGTTAGAGGGGTACCCCATCTGTTAGAGGGGTACCCCATCTGTTAGGGGGTACCCCATCTGTTAGGGGGTACCCCATCTGTTAGGGGGTACCCCATCTGTTAGGGGGTACCCCATCTGTTAGGGGGTACCCCATCTGTTAGGGGGGGTATCCCATCTGTTAGGGGGGTACCCCATCTGTTAGGGGGGTACCCCATCTGTTAGGGGGGTACCCCATCTGTTAGGGGGGTACCCCATCTGTTAGGGGGGTACCCCATCTGTTAGGGGGTACCCCATCTGTTAGGGGGTATCCCATCTGTTAGGGGGTACCCCATCTGTTAGGGGGTACCCCATCTGTTAGGGGGGGGGGGGGGGTATTCCATCTGCTATTTGCCCCCAGATAATATCGCCGAGTAATAGTGTAATACATAATTAATATAATTTCCTTTACTTTTATTTGTTTCCATATAGTGTGTACCTGTTGGTGCTGTTGAGCCAGCTGTTTGAGAAGATGAGAGTTGTCTGATTTTAGAGCGGACTGGAGAGTGGAGAGCTGAGTTTCTAGTCCTGTCTTAATCCCCATCAGCTGTGAAGATATAAAGTAGAATATAAACAATGTTAACACACATATGCTACAAATATCTGCAGATACCGAATTCGAGCCACCCCTGTTCCATGCCCAATGAACGATGAACGAGGATGCACACGAGGATATGATTTCCATAATTTCGTCGAAATTTCATATAGGTATCCTCGCGGTATCCTCGCGGTATCCTCGTGCGATCCTCGTGGGATCCTCGCGATGATACTAGGGGGTGCACGATAAAAATAAACTTGCTCGGATTTAAAAAATTTTTGTACCACTGTTTTTTAGAAACTGTGAGAATTTTCACAATACCAAATTTGTCATACCTTTTTGGAAAGATCAGTGATTTATTCGAATTTCATCATCGTGCGATGAGGAGAAAACCCTCGCGAGGATGGAAATGTCCAATAATTTCATCGCGAGAAAATCATCCTCGTGGGAAATTGTGCACGAGACAGACGACAGTGCGCGTGCACGTGCAAACTATACTTACCTCGTTAACTTGAGTAGCACGCTCACGGGACACAGCCTGCTCTGCTCTAAGAGTAGCCATCAGTACTGCTACTCTTCCTCTTATCTTATCGTACTGTGCTTTATCTACTGTATTGATCTGTAACTGTGGAGTTGCAGGTGTTAGGTGCAGGTTATATATAAAACCATGTCCTAAACTGTAATTATATTTATAGCAGCATTGATTTACTCCCTGGTTATAACAACCAAGCTGTAACCTGATTTATCAATTATAGCTATTACACGCGTACTTCCGTTATATATAAATACACAATTCTTAGTGAATATAATACCAAGACTCATGAGTTGAATAAAATATAAGGGTAATGTCATGATATTGAACTCGAAGTATTGTTAAAATAGAAATGAGACACACTACACACTACACACTACACACTACACACTACACACTACACACTACACACTACACACTACAAGGGCTAAAAGATAATCAAACTACTGATAGCACATGTTGTACTGTTGTAGATATCGTAATGAGAAAAGAATTAGATCGGGGCAGAAGTTACGGAGATGAGGATGAGGGATCATTTCTGTTACATTTCTGTTACATTTCTGTTAAATATCTGTTAAATATCTGTTAAATTTCTGTTACATTTCTGTTAAATTTCTGTTACATTTCTGTTAAATATCTGTTAAATATCTGTTAAATTTCTGTTACATTTCTGTTAAATATCTGTTAAATTTCTGTTAAATTTCTGTTAAATTTCTGTTAAATTTCTGTTAAATTTCTGTTAAATTTCTGTTAAATTTCTGTTAAATTTCTGTTAAATTTCTGTTAAATTTCTGTTAAATTTCTGTTAAATTTCTGTTAAATTTCTGTTAAATTTCTGTTACATTTCTGTTAAATTTCTGTTAAATTTCTGTTAAATTTCTGTTAAATTTCTGTTAAATTTCTGTTAAATTTCTGTTAAATTTCTGTTAAATTTCTGTTAAATTTCTGTTAAATTTCTGTTAAATTTCTGTTAAATTTCTGTTAAATTTCTGTTAAATTTCTGTTACATTTCTGTTAAATTTCTGTTAAATTTCTGTTACATTTCTGTTAAATATCTGTTAAATTTCTGTTAAATTTCTGTTAAATTTCTGTTAAATTTCTGTTAAATTTCTGTTAAATTTCTGTTAAATTTCTGTTAAATTTCTGTTAAATTTCTGTTAAATTTCTGTTAAATTTCTGTTAAATTTCTGTTAAATTTCTGTTAAATTTCTGTTAAATTTCTGTTAAATTTCTGTTAAATTTCTGTTAAATTTCTGTTACATTTCTGTTAAATTTCTGTTAAATTTCTGTTAAATTTCTGTTAAATTTCTGTTAAATTTCTGTTAAATTTCTGTTAAATTTCTGTTAAATTTCTGTTAAATTTCTGTTAAATTTCTGTAATT